AACCCCACTTTGCTAAAAAAGTAAATAACAAGAAATTAAACAATTTCACTTATTTTGGTGAATAACAAGAACAAATATGAATCCTAGGAGAATTCAGTATATGCCTAACTTGCATTTAGTTTACTGCAATTATTTGTGCCAATATATGTTTGAGTAATAAAATTAGAGTTAGTTCTAGCTTAATTATCAGCAATGTGAATTAAAAATATTTTTTCAGGTAATAAACTCACTCGCTTTGTTCATGGGTAAGCCATCCAACCCAACTTCTTTAAAGTTAACATCTAATGATGAATAGCATATTCTGTCTGTACATATGCACATTCAGTTACCCTGGCATGAAAATTAGCTACCTGGATACCAAAGGGTCTTGGGAATATAATCATGAGCAGAGAGAATGCCCCCATTTGTGTAAGTCATCTAAAATGAGGTTTTCTTACTGGTTATCCTATTAAAGGGTCAAGAACACTGTGAACCTATAAATAGATTGATCTCCTGATTACCCACAGAGAGGGTAAAACTTTAAGCATTTTAGCTTCTGATCTTGGCATTAGCTGACTATACCCTGAATCCCTTCCGTCTGCAGCTTCATAGATGTTCATTTTCAGTAATGTATATTTGCTCTTTAACAATATCTAAGGACACGGTGCCAATGTGTGCCAACACCTTAACCAGTTGCTTTGGTTAAAGGATACGAGAGGAAAAAGAAGTGCTAAGGCCAAGTAGGTAATATACAATGCACAGATAATGTTTAGACATCGTCAAACCAACAATGCAACCACAAATTTTAAGTCCCAAGAGTTAAAAAAATCCTCTTGGTTCCAAAAATCCTCTTCTTCTCTTGCCCTCTCAAGTACCCATGTTCTATATAGCTCACATAAATTTTTTTTTTTCCCAAAAATGCTGGCCTGTCATAGGCCACAAATCTGGGGAGAGAGATTACTGCATTAAAATGCCATTTTTCTTTTTTTCTTAAAGATTATTTGTTTATTTATTATTTTCAAGAGGGGAGGGTGAGGAGAAAGATAGGGAGACAAACACCAATATGTGGTTGCCTTTCATGTGCCCCCTACTGGGGACCTGGCCTGCAACCCAGGCATGTGCCCTGACTGGGAATCGAACCGCTGGTGCTTTGGTTCCCAGGCCAGCACTCAAGTCACTGAGCCACACCAGCCAGGGCTTAAAATGCCATTTTTCAATATTAAACTTGAATTAGCCTTTATATTTACAAGATCAGAACCTGGCATGTTAAATCTACATGAGCTAAAGGTCTACTTAAGAAGAGAATTTAGTGCTGCAAAGAGCTTCACTTCCTTATTCCATTATGATCTACTTATCGAGTCTAAAAGGCACATGCTTCATTAAGCTACTTAAAGGTTTTAGTTCAAAGCAATTGCACAGCTTTTAACTTCCCATTGGAAATTGCATGAAATTCATGAGCTGGGTAAAGTAATATTTCAATTACCTGAGTAAAATGAAAATGTGAGAAATTAAAATATAACCATCTGACATCAATAATTCTTCTAATGATTATTTTGGTGACAACATATAATGAGAAACTGAATACCGCATTTGCAACTGAATATCACATTTGCCTCTATCTTCTAGTATAGCTAGGAAAATTTTAAAAATTAACAAGGAAATAACATATTCACCAGTACACTGCAATATTAAATATATAGGCTTTCAGAAATAGTGAAACTTAAGGAAATTGTAAATTGTTAAATCTTAATAATTTCATGTGATATTAAATGAGGAGTACATATGAAATAATTTTGTTATCTGGATAAGTAGCTTGGACATGAGATATCACTTTGATAAAAAGCTTTTAAGTAAATAACTGTTGTCCATTAATAGTTCATCCCAAGCTCATTATCAAAATGTCCATCTTAAATTATGCATATGTGACTATGCAAAATTGAATTAGGAAGTAGTGCTTGTTGCTCAGTGAATTTGTCCTTCTGTTTCCATGGAAACAGTTGCTAGATTGCTTCTCTTGAACACTGGGTTTTAAAGTGGAAAACTACAGTACATTAATATCTCAGAAAGTTAAAAAATATTATATCTCACAGATTCTTCAATTTGTTGGATTTTTGAAACAGCAGTTCATAGCATGCCTATACACTTCATGTAGAACAATTTAATTTCTACTGAATTTTGTGATTTTCTCTTGCCCAGTACAATGGCTTAAGAATAAAGGTCTTATTTGACTTTGCATCTTTGGCATATAATACAGACTCCAGCTCAAGCCATTTTTAATATGCATTTTGAATAAATAACATATAATAACATATTCTATGTTCTTTTTATAGTTATAAGAAAATATGAGATTTAATGCCATACTAAAGTCATACTGAGTCCTGACTTGAATAGCTAGCTAGTTCAATGACTCATAGGTCATTCACATAAATTTTCTATGTGACAGTTTCCATATCAAATGGGGAATAATAACAAAACTCAAGTCATGTAGTTGTGATTTTTAAATAATCTAGATGAAATAAAGCATCTAGGATAATGTGTGACATAGTAAGAAATCAGTCAATAGTAGCGATAATAATTACAGTAACTATACTGGTGTTGCTCTTACGTCTTGTCCAGCACGGTGCTAGATGCTCTGTATCTTCAATCATCACTGTAACCCTGTATAGTTATGCTTATGCTGCTGACAGGTACCAGAGAGATAACTAGTGGCACTCAAATTGTAAATTGGGAGGTCAGATTTTAAACCCTCCTTTGCTTGCTTCCAAGCCCTGGGACATTTTTTTTTTCTTCCCCGTACAACATACTGCCTCTTCTGGATATATTTCAAAAATCAAGAAAGGCGCAGTATCTCTCTTTAAAAGCTTTTCAAATTATTTCTATAAATTACAATATGGCCACCGGATCCATTACAGAAGATAGCTAATTCAAATAAGAGGTTGTACAAAGAAATTTTCCCACACTATACTCTATTTTTACTTTTTCAGAAAGTCAGTTAATTAGGTTTCCTTGATATAGTGCAGGAAAGCGTAAAATTGGATTTTTAACATGGAATAAATGCCTAGGTTCCAGTTTAGAGCCCTGAGTGTATCTCAGGGGTCCCCTGGGTGGCCCTGAGAATTTTCCAAATGTCCTCTTTACTCACATCTGTCCTGTTATGTGCCCTGGTTATATCTTCTTTTAGAAAAAGTAATCAATGTTTACTCATCAGGTGGGTGGGTCCATTCGCTATAATGAGAGAAATCCTCTGCTACAAGAATTAAAAAACTCACTTTTTCTAAGGGTACAGGTAGGTTCAATGATTGTTCAAACAAACTTTTCAGTAAAAAAAATGACAGCATTAGATATTTTATTGGTGATTTCTAGTAAAACTAGATTATGATACCTAGTGTGCAAACACTTTAAGTTTAAAAAGCACTCTCATATATGTTATGTATTGAATATAAATCCCTGACATTGGTCCCTGACTAACATGGGATATTACATATTTGAAAACAATGGCAACAACAATCCCCCCATGAGAAACAAGCAAAAAAGATGAATAAAGCCCTAATGCACAAGACTAATAAGTGACTAAATCACACCCAGAAAATAGTACGTTCAGCGTTATTGCATAAAATCTTTGCACTACATTATTTAAATTAAGGATAAATATCTACAAATGGAAAGATTTTCAAGAGAGATACTTATATGGCTAATGAGGGAGTGGTTATTTGTCAAATAGTACATGAATATGGCACAGGAAAACACCCTTTCATAACAATTCACTAGGGATTCATTCAGTTTGAGTCTTTTTTTTCTTTAATTATTTTCTAGTTAATCATAGTAAATTATGTTTTTATATTAAGGTTACAGAGTGGATAAAGTTACAGATTTTTTTTTGACAAATGAACCAAAAAAGTGTTAGCTCAGACTCTATAAATTTTCAGATATCCTAATATTATTCTCTACAAAAATGGTAATTTCAACCAAAGAACAAAATTAACAATTATTTTCCAAAAGCATTATATGATTACTATTAAAATGCTTTAGTTACAACCAATATTAAATTAGTTTTCATTCCCAAACCTAATCCCTATTAAGGTATAAATTACTGATAAGGAACATGCAATTTGTAAATGAATAATTCTGATTTGGAACAACTGAATGTATATTATGAATATGTTTGTATAGTTATGATGAAGCTGACTGTGTATTTCTAAAAATAATACATATTTTGAAAAAGAGTGGATCCACAAAATCAAAGTGGGTAATACTAAGATATTTAATAATAATAATTCTAAGATATTACCTTCAGTTTTCTCTCTCACTTCTCATGAATGTACCAGGAGTCTTCCAGAGACTACATGGTGTGTGACATTACAGGAGACTGAATACCAAAGTGGGGACTAAGGACACAGGTACCTTCTATTAGGCCAGATATTATTGTAATTTATAAAACTATAACTGATGCTAACCTTCTTAGTACTTGATTTTGCTTTGGAAAATATGTTATTTTTCAAAAATGTCATATTAACATGTAAAAAATTATTGCATTAATTTAGTAAGTTAATAAATGGGTCTTAAGGTTAGCAGTTTAAGATTCAATGAAATAAATATTAATAGTTATAACCCATGTAAACAAAAGGTCTTTGGGACTTATAATACATTTTAAGACTGTAAGTAAGGTGCACTTGAAACCTATATAATCTAACTATGTCACCCCAATCAATTTAATTAAAAAATAAAATTAAACTTAAAAAGAGTATAAGTTCCATAGAACCTAAAAGTTACAGAGCTATTGGTAAAGAAACAAGAAAATACTATTTATTCAGTCTTAAACTATCCTTATACATTTACAAATCTACAAACCCCAGTGATAAAGATCTTTATGGTCCTTGTAATATGTAAGAAGTTATTTAAAATAGATCTATTTAAATACCCTTAAAGCATTTCATTCATAACATAAAAAAATACTGAGCTTCTTAGAAATTGCTCCATTTTCAAAATATATTTATAACTTAACCAAAATAAATAATTCATACCTCACCAAGTGAGTAATAACGTCTTGGGATCTGGGAGTCTGGATAGATGTTTTCAAGGTACCAAGAAAAGGGCTTACACTTCAGATTTTCTCTTAGTGCTTTTCTGACTGACACATCTCCGTAATCCACTTTGACAACACCTGGAATTTTTCAAAGAAACACAAATTAGTTCATGCTATTTTTGTTTTAGCACTGTTTCACTTTGTTTACTTTGTGATCACTTTTTCTTCTATAATTATAATTCCATCAAATTCAATTGCATTTACAGCTGCTATTACACTGATCTTTTTTTTTAACTAACATCCAATTAGTACATTAAATTGATATAAAAATAGTTTTCCCATTGGTTATGACTTTTCAAATGCAAATATTTATCACCAAGTACTTGTACTTCTTAGATTGAATAATTAATCAACTAAGCGTAAATTGGAATTAATTTAGCAATTCATAATCAAAGCTTAACTGAACCGTGTGATAATGTGGTTGTTTCTCTTTAATAAAAATTTCAATAGCTTTGATGCCTTTGTTAATGCTTGTATTTTCACTCTAGTGTTATTTATTCACCACCTGCAGATTTCATTAGAAATTTACTATATAAATATGATCCTCAACAATGCATAGCAGTTATTATTGTATGCTATAACTTTCCCTTCTTCTTCTTGAACTTTTATTCTACGTAGGCTTATCATAGAACTAATTTTTTCTTTATTGATTTTCTTGTTTTATTTTTAAGTTTATATAAGCCACCTGAAATCCTTGGATAAGTTAGTAAGTAAATAAGCATAAAGAAACTAACATAAACAAATGGAATATATTCAAAAGTATATATTAAAATTGGTTAGCACCTGGAGAACATTATGCTAAGTAAAATAAACCAATCAGAGGATGACAAATGCTATATAACTTCACTTGTATGTGGAATCTAATGAACAAACTAAACTAATAAGCAAAGTAGAGACAGAATTGTTCGCAAGAAGGGTTATATAAGCAGTTTCTGATTGGAAGGAAGTTTGAAATTTCATTTGCATATTACTTTACATTAGATAACAGAAAAAGGGTGGTCTGGTAGAGCGATTACTGCAGAAAGATAATTTAAATTATCTTTAGAAATGCAGAAAAATACCTTGGGATCATCTTACTATTTGGCTAGGGTGGCTTTTTTCTTCTGTATATTTTCCCTGCTTAGAAGTAAAATATTGTGTATTAAAGAGCACTGCTCTCCAAACATTCCATATCATCCTCTACATTTTCAGGCCACTGATGTTAGCTAAAGAACCGTGGGGGAAAGGGACATCTGTCACTTCTGGTCTTCTGGTCTTCAAGATAGAGGATGAGGAACGAGACCCTCTCCAACTCTCTTTTCCTCCAGTAGAGGGACTGAGGAGGCCTTGTACCCCAATGGGTGTAGCTACACGATGGTGAGGCCTTTGTTGGCCTGCATCTTTGACTGTGAAGTAGCCTGAATTAGACTTTTCAGACCCATGGTATAAAATGCCATCGGACTTGTTTTTCAAACTCTTACTTCCAACCCTCCCTACAGTAGTTTACCCAATATTGTATACTGAAGAATTTTATGAGGATTTCTAAGAGGCATCTCAAATTTGACAAGTCTGAAACAGTCCTCTTGATTTTCCAACTTGCTCCATCTCCAAAATTCTCCATTTCAGTAACTAGAACAAATGCCCATCCATTTGCTTAGGGCAAAACATAGGAGTAACTCTCTTTATCTTACATACACATATTCAAATTATTAGCACTTTCTGTTGGCTCTGCATTCAGTGCATTCCCAGCTCTCCCACAATCCCTTCTAACATCCTGGTCTCACTCTGTCTCATCTTTTGCCTAAACGAGCATTGTAATAGTCTCCTGACTAGTCCCCTTGACATCTTATATTTTTCTGTTTATCCCTTATTCATCATTTCCTGTTCCCTAGACAATATATTTTAAATATAAGTAAAATCATGTCTAACTCCTGCTCTAAAGCTTCAAGTGGTTCTCTACTGTGTTAAGAATAATTAACAATATCTTAACTATTGCTTAGTATCCTTTGTGAACCTGTTCTCGGCTGTCTCTCTGAATTAGTTACTCATATTCACTTTGTAGCCACATTGGCTTTTGCTGTTTGTTGTTGTTATTCTTGTTATCTATTTATTTTTGCTTTTCTTCTGACATGCTAAGATCATTCCTAATTCATAGTTTTGTAGTCATTCTTTTCCTGTGTGGAATGGTAATACTCTACCCTGGAACTTATATGAGCTGTCCATCACTTCATACAAGTTTCTGCTCAAACTTCACTTCCTCAGATTCACCCCGACCTCCTTATTATAATGATTGGCTCAGGAATGGGAATGTGAACACATTAGCCTAATAAATGTATACTGAGAATGTGCAGGTTGAAGTTGACACTCTATTACCTTTGGAATTGCTAGCTATATAGATGCTTTAAGACTAGAGCTTCTGGGGCTACCATATAGTAAATTCCTATAACAGTGATGCCAATACATGAGCAAAATAAACAGGAAAAGGATAACAGAGATCAAAACAAGACAAAGTCAGAAGATGTTTATTTATTTTATTTCAACTATATATGAGGTACATTTTCTAGGTATTTGGGATACATTAGTGAACAACATAAGTGAAGTATTTTCTTCTATGGAGTTTACATTCTAGTGGAGGAAGACACAAAATAATAGATTAAAAGGTGATATATGCTATGACAAAAACAGACTAGGGTGAGATAGGAAGGTTGTAATAGAAGAACTCAGTGGATTTTTACATATATTTTTTTTTAAAGGCAACAAAGAATTGAAAGTTTCTAAGGTAAATCTTTCAGTCGGATTTGCATAAACCTGGAAATGCTTTGATAATAAGATAAAGGTGCATTATGAATTAGCTAAAAAAAGAGCATTTAAATTAACTACAGGATTGCAATTTTGATTAAGAAGTTTATGATAACGCAAGTTGTCATATTTTATTAAATAGCTTGTCCCTTATTCATCATAATAAAATCTACTTCATGGTAGTACTAAATTTAGATATGTAGGACATTCAAGTTTTAAATGTTTAAATAGAGAGTAGATTGAGGATCATAATGATCTCAGTTAAATTCTTCCCTAGTAGATGCCTAATAAGCCTAAAATTCTGGTTCCCCTAGAATTAGGTCACCTGGTAACAGAATAGTTGCAACACTAGGCTAAAGCTTAGAGTTTTATGCATAAGACTATGTATTGCATTAGCTTCAAGAAAAAGGGAAATTATATTTCTTTGATAGGGAATGCTTAAGTAAGTCAACGCTATATATATCTAATTGACAAAATGTAATTCATATATTGAAACAATTCTTTCTGTATAAGAACATGAAAAATATTAATACAAATATAAAACAATTTTCACTATACTGTTATTATAACAAAATAAAATGAAAATATGAAACAATTAAAAAATAGCACATTTCCTTTGCTAACTGAAAAAAAAAGAGTGAGAACTTAATACATCTATTTTTTCCTTAAGCACAACAATTAAAACTATGCAGCTAACCATAAAATTTTTTTATATCCAATGATACCATATTAACATATACTTGTATATTTTAGTAGACCAGTGCACATAATTTAAGAGTTTTGTTGGTATTTTCAAAATTCCCTATAACTGAAAATATATCTCCTTATTTTGTTATTCACTTTGAATATTTGTCTTCAGGAGCTTTATCCTTATCTTCATTCTTTTCTCTTCAAAATATATAATAATACAAAGAAATCATTTATAAGCCAACTAAAGATTATTATGTTACAGAGTATATAAATACTATACTGTGTCAGAGGTTTAGTAAATTATTTGGAATGCTTTTTCTTTTTATTATTCAAAACCACTCTTTAAGTCCATCATTTACATGTTTAACCATTCTTGATATGCACGAAAATTACCCAGGCTCATAGCCACTCGTTAAAAAATTGCTGGATAGAAGTATACTAACAGACTGATAGTCCATGCCAGCTAATAACACATAGTGGTTATCTGTTGAATTTAGCATTTACTATTATGATTGCAATTTTATTTTAATGTAATAAAAATGAGATAATGAATTGTACAAAGATCATGGCTCTGTCACATAGAACAAGCAAATATCACACAACTTCTTGATTTATTTAAGTCTGTCTGACCTCCAGAGTCAAAAGTTTGAGAAGGTCTTGAAGCTAAATTTTCTATGTAATTGCCTCAAACTTCAGTTCAATTGGACAATAAAAATCTCATATTGAACTACGTGGTTCCAGAGGGACAAGAATATGAGTAATAAGAATAGCGAACCTTTGCAACTGCCTTTTAAAATAAAGGTCAACTTGATATCGCTTGAAACAAATCACCTATAAAATCCACAATCTTGAGGTAAAAAAATCTAAGTAAAGACCTTCATGGCCATGTTTACTAATCTTCAGAAGCTAGAGCAGCCAGAGTATATAGTCACCTGCTCCCTAACTCACATATTTTATAGAAAATGCAAAGAGGTATTGAGCCAATGAAACCAGTAACTGACATATCTTGTGTATTTTGTTTTGTTATTGTTTGTTTTTCATCTCCCCATAGTAAGGAGAATTTTACAGATAATTTATATGTTTATCTTTTAAAAACTTCTTACAGTTATTGATAATTATGTATTCACTGAAGATCATTCTAAAACAGATAGAAACAGTAAAAGTCATCTGTAATAATGCTACATTTACATGATGCTAATGATTTTCTTAGACTTTTATTCATATAAAATTATATAGGTACAACTTCTCTTGCAAAAAATTATTTATATTGCAATATGTACTAGTAACTTGCTTTATTCCTAAAACAGTATGTCATGCAGACTTTTTGATCAATTCAACTTTTCTGTAACTTTGTTTTTAATGTCTCTATGGCATTCTATTTTACAAGTGGGTAATAACTTAATCAGTTCCCTATAGTTGGATATTCAAGTTGTTTCTCATTTTAGATCATTTTAGACTTTATTTCTTTTTTATTTTAGACTTTAAAAGTCAATGAATCTTTATACCATTTTTATTATGCTCTTGGTTATTTCATTAGAATAATCTCTAGAAGCAATACATTTTGAGAAATTACATGCTAATTTCAAAACTTTTAAAAACATACATCTATT